CAGGGGTGCCGACGAATTCAGACAAACGTGCACACATTTTTAGAAAATAAGCAAGGGATAAACAAACGTTAACGGCCATGACGCCTCGCTAAGAAAACCGTCTGAGATAACCTAAGGACCTTCTGTCGCCCAATACTAACCTTCCTTCAGGAGAAAGCAGCCAGCGGGTGTCCTCAAACCCCTAACAGGAAGCAAGACAGAAGCAAACCGTTAAGAACTCCAGGCCACGGAAGTTTAAATCCCAGCTACCGAAGACGCCGGCCAGGGGCGGTCAGAGCGCTGCGGTGATGGCGTCAGCGGACACTCAGAATCACCAGAGGTCATCATTACCGTCGCTCCCCCGGGTCCAGTCCCTCCACACCCCGCCCTGCGTTCGCACCATCGACTCACCATCGTGGCCCTGGGTCCCGCCGGCGCGGATCAGAGACCTGGGGAGAGAGGACAGTGTGAGCACAGACCCGGGAGACTGCGGCCCGCGGCCCTCCTCCCGGGCTGGGTCAGTTCCAAGGGTGGCGTCACGGAGACATCAGAAACTCTAGTCTGTAAATGTGGGTCATCCTGCCCAGCCCCACGCCGCGGAGCCCTCCCCACGGGACCCGGGGGTACCTGCTGCACGACCTCCACGGAGGGAGCAAAGCCAGAGACAAGGCAAGGATGCAGGCCCAAGGACGAGCACACAACAACGCGGCAGACACGCGTACAAAGAGACCCGCTGCCGCCCGCCCGCGCGCTTTTATAGCCGCGCCAGCCCGGGGTCCTGACGCGCGTAGTCGTCTTCGGATATGCCTGATCCGGGCGCGCGCAGACCAATGCGGAGGGAATGAAGCGGAATTATGTCGCTCACTCTTCGGAGTGGAGAGTCATGCGTGACTGTGACTTCTGCTAAATTACCAAAGAAAAGGAAAACAAAAATGGAAGCAGGCGGGTGGCCTAGACGCCCAAGGTGGGGTAAAGACCCCGGAGAGCCGGCTGGGTGTGTGTGCGCTCTCTGACCGCCTGGAGGTGTGTGTATTGCAGCGGTGATTCTGTTCTGATCCAGGCTACCTAGGGGACTCAGGTCACCTCCACGAGCCAGAACGATCTGAATTTGCATCTCAGCTTCTGTTCTCCATCCTTTTTATAAAAAAAAAAAAAAAAAAGCGCTTTATTGGGTAGTAAACTTTTCTCCCCTACACCCCCACCGTATCCCTGGCTCATTTGTAACTAACTAGATAGTCCAAGATGGGGGTCCAACCATGCTTAGACTTACAGGCGTGACCCACTACCAGCTCAGACATCTTTGTCAGTTTTAAAAATTAATATTATGGCCGGGCGTGGTGGTGCATGCCTTTAGTTCCAGCACTCTGAGGCAGAAGCAGATGGATTTCTGAATTCTAGGTCAGCCTGGTCTACAAAGCAAGTTCCAGGGCAGCCAGGGCTGTTACACAGAGAAACCCTGTCTCGAAAAACACAAACAAAGAGATTAATTTTATTTATGTATGTGCACACCACATGTGTGCAAGTGCCTGCTGAGGCCAGCCACAGCGCTTTGGATCCTTTGGAACTGGAGTTACAGGAAGCTGGGAGGCACTTGCTGTGGGTGCTGGGCACTGAGCCAGGACCTGCTGAAGAGCAGTAAGTGCTCCTAACCTCCTAGGCCTCTCTCCAGCCCCCTTTGTCATTTTTCTGAGACTGCAGTTCTGCATTCAACACTCCTGCATTCACTTCCGAATACTGGAATCATATGTGTGAGCTACTTTGAGCATCTCTGGCTTTGTTTTTAAAAATACATTTTAGCTGGGAGGTAGCTGTATACAATTTTAATCCCAGCATTCAGTAGGCAGAGTCAGCAAATCTCTGAGTTCAAGGCCAGCCTGGTCTACAATAGGGGTTCTAGGACAGCCAGGGCTACACAGAGATACCCTGTCTTGATAAATAAATAAATAATAAATACAAGTTGGAGGGCCAGGCTGTGCCCTTTATGGAGCTGAAGGGTGGTCTAAGACGCTAACTCAGAAACAATATTATAAATGAAGTTTGGAAGGTCACTGTGCATACAAGAAATGGATTTTCTCTGTACTCTTTTCCGTTATTCCATCTGCCCTCCCTCCCTTAAAACTGTAGCCTTCCATCAAAACTCTCTTGTGAGGTTGGGGTGGTGGCACCGGCCTCTGATCCCAGCACTTGGGAGACAGAGGCAGGCAGATTTCTGTGAATCCGAGGCCAGTCAGGGCTATGCAGAGATCCTGCTTTGTAACATAATATAAACCTTTTAAAATCTAAGAATCCTACAGTAATTATTTATTTGATAAGCTTCTCGGTTCCTAGAGGCCCGGTTTCCACCGGGGAGGCTATTGGAGGAGGCTGCTTTCAGTTCTACACTGAGTACATGTTCCGGCTAGACATGACTTCTCTCTGGTGTGGCTTAGCAATAAACCCATCTCTAATGAGCAGTTCATGAACATAATCGCCCCGACCTCAAGAATTAGTTTCTGGTCATAAAACTCTTGCTGCTGGCTTCTTTACCGCAGGGCGGCCTGACACCTTCTGTGTAAGAATATGCTGGAAATGAAGGTGGGTGACCCTGGCCCAGCTAGTGATTTATTCTTGTTGGAGCTGGGGATTGTTTTTAGGGCCTCCATGCTAAGCCAGCATTCTGTCATCGAGCTACACCCCAGCAATTCTTGGATTATGTCATTACACCGATAGGACGGAGACTCGTGCATCAAAAGGGCTTTTTCTGCTATTTTCCCCCTATTTTCTGCCTGTTTGTTTATTCAGGCCTTGGACAAGCTAGGTAAATGGTCCATTATTTCACCAGGTTTACTGCCTGGAAGGAAGAGGGCAGATAGAGAGAGTGGGTGTGAAAGTGTGCTGTAATCCCAGCGTCTGAGACCAGCATAGGCTAAATAGCACATTCCAGCACAGCCAGGGCTACAGAGAAAGGCCATCACTCTCTCTCTCTCTCTCTCTCTCTCTCTCTCTCTCTCTCTCTCTC